TATCTCCCTCTGTTGGGAGTAGTGGTGTGGTATAGGAGATTATCTCATCCTCGTGTTAATGACCTACCAGTTGAACCCAGCCAAGAAGAAGCACTGGTCACAAGACAATGACTGTGGATTTTTTTTTCTTTTCTTTAAAGATAGTGTTCCTGGGCCGAACAGCAGCCTATCTGGAGCGTGATCATGCCTCTTGCTATCTTGTCTCACTGCCCAAGAAAGTCTGTTTTGGAAAGATTTAGTCCTTCAATTAGGGCAAATTGATTTTTGCTCTCTACAGAGCCACTGTTCCAAAGAGAAGTGGGAAAGGGCCGGAGAAGCCATATTAATCGTTGCAAGCAAGCAAGAGGCGACCTGGAGTATTTTTCGGCCTTCCAGCCTCAGGTTGTATATGGAGTTAATCTCTCCTCTGTATATCTTTTAATTGCTCCGACTTGCAAGGTGCCAGACAACACAACACAAAACACACCTCCACTCTTTAAGTTTCTGGAGACTTAAATCAAGCGTCTGGAGCAGCGTTTCCCCAAGTGCGCCAGCACAAAAGTGATTAAGCGGTACCTAAGATGATCTCAGGTGGCCCAGAGACTTTGCATTAAGTAACATTGACTCATGGGGAGAGAATGCTTCCTCTTTTCAGCTCTCTTTCATTTCATCTGATTACCTCAGATGGAAAGTCTCGGCTGGTTGCCCATATCTCCCTTCTTGACAAAGAGGGAGGCAGGAAGATCTGGCTAAAATCTAGTAACGTCGCTTTATTCTTATTTGTTTGGGTTTTTTAATTTATTAGCTCTTTATCACAAATGGTACCGATTTTCCATTTATAGTTTTTAACGCTTCCTTTTAAAATAAATTTTTAATTGAAAAAAAGTGAGCTGGGACTTGCCTCGTGGTCCACTGGGTAAGAGTCTGCACTCCAATGCAGGGGGCCCGGTTCAACCCCAGGTTAGGGAACTAGATCCTACATGCATGCTGCAACTAAGAGCCCACATGCCAGAACTAAATATCCCTCATGCCACAACTAAGACCCAGTGCAGCCAAAATAAATAAATAAATAAATATATATATATATATATATATATATATATATTTTTTTTTTTTTAAAGTGAGTTGATTTAAAAAAGAAAATCTTAAGTAAATTGTAGTGAGGTAGGCAGAAGTGGCAAAAATCGTGCCAGTAGTATATGATTATGAGAGATAAGGAAAACACAGCTAGAGAGGGGAAATCCTCATGTTTCTACAGAGAACCCAGCAACTTACTGGCTGTATGACCTTGGGCAAGTTTCTTAGCTTCTTTGAGCATCAGTTTTCTCATCTGTCAAATGGGGAGAACTGTAATGCAGAGTATGATTTTATGAATCAAGGGAGATAAAATATGTGAAGCTCCTTTGCAAGTCATAATCTGCCTTCCAGTGAAAATGGTTCATTTCTATACAGGTTAGAAAAAATAAAAGGTTCAGTGGGTTCTGGATCAAGCAGTCAAGGGGCCCTGGCTCTACTGTTGCACCTTCCCTTCTCTGGACTTCAGCTTTCTGTCTATAAAATGAAGAGACTGAACTACTCCAGTGCTTTCCAGGCCTAGCTGTACATCAGAATTACCTGTGGGTCAAGTAAAACCAAAGATGCTGATGCTGCCTTCAATTTACCAAATCAATTTACCAAATGAGAGGATGCCCAGGCAGCTGTATTTGCAGCCAGCTCACCAGGTGATTCAGCCACAGCCCCTGAATTAGGAGGGCCCTTCCAGCTGTAACTCTTGATGGAGTGAATTGAGAGCAGAATTGTCTGACTTCTTTAACCCAGCAGGCTCGTTCATATTATTGCAAAAGCTCATTCTTTTTCTTTGCTGAATAGTATTTCCACTGTATGGATATACTACATTTTATTTATCCATTCATCTGTTGATGTGTATTTGGATGATTTGATTTTCAACTTGGGGATACTATGAAAATTGCTGCTGTGAACATGAGTGTACATGTTTCCATGTGGACGTATATTTTCATTTCTCTTGGATATACACCTAGGAGTAGAATTGCTGGATTGTATGGTAACTGTGTTCAACTATTTATGGAACTGCCAGACTGTTTTCCAAAGTGGCTGCACCGTTTTACATTCCCACCAACAGTGTATGAGAATTCTTATTTCTCCACATCCTTGTCAACACTTATTATCTTACTTTTTCATTATAGCCATCCTAGTGAATGTGAAGTAGTATCTCGTTATGGTTTTGATTTATATTTCCCTGGTGACTAATGATGTTGAGCATCTTTTCATGTGTTTATTGGCCATTCGTGTATCTTCTTTCAAGAAGTGCCTATTCATGTCCTTTACCCATTTTTTTAAATTGAGGTAAAATTCACATAACATAAAGTTAACCATGTTAAAATATACGATACAACGTTAAAGTATACGATTCATTGGCATTTAGTACATTCATAACGTTGTGCAACCATCACCTCTGTCTAGTTTCAAAATATTTTTACCACCCCAAAAGGAAACCCCATACTTATTAAGTAGTCACTCCCTATTCCCCTCCACCCCAGTTCATGGTAATCACTGATCTGCTTTCTGTCTCTGGATTTACCTACTCTGGAATTTCATACACGTGGAATGATATAACATGTGACCTTTTGTGTCTGGCCTTCTTTACTTAATATTGATGATTTCTAGGTTCATCCACATTGTGGCATGTATCAGTACTTCATTTCTTTTTTGGCTGAGTAATATCCCGTTGTATGGATATATTCCATCTTTGTTTATCTATTTATGAGGTGATGGAAATTTGGGTTATTTTCGCCATTTGGCCATTGTGAATACTGTTGCTATGAACGTTCATGTACAAGTAATCAAAACATTTTTTAGGGACTTCCCTGGTGGCACAGTGGTTAAGAATCTGCCTGCCAATGCAGGGACATGGGTTTGATCCCCAGTCCGGGAAGATCCCACATGCCTCCGAGCGACTAAGCCCATATGCCACAACTACTGAAGCCTCTGCGCCTAGAGCCTGTGCTCTGCAACAAGAGAAAGCACCGCAGCGAGAAGCCCGCACACCACATGAAGAGCGGCCCTTGCTCGCTGCAACTAGAGAAAGCCCGCGCGCGGCAACGAAGACCCAATGCAGCCATAAATAAATTAATTAAGTAAAAAAAAGAACCCAAATATTTCAGAGAGAAGCAAAAACAAGAAAACATTTTTTAGCTGTCCTGGATTCCTTGATCCCTTGCATTTCCATAAAGTTGAGGATCAGCTTGTCAATTGTCAATTTCTGCAAAGAAGCCATCTGTGATTTTTTGATCACATTGAATCTGTATATCAACGTAGGAGGTATTGCCACCTTAACAACATTAAGTCATCTGATCCATGAACATGGACTATCTTACCGTTTATTTTGGTGGTTCATTTCTTTCAACAGTGTTTTGTAGTTTTCAGTATACATTTTGCACTCACTTTGTTAAATTGTAAATGGTATTTTTACCATTTTAATTGCATTTTCAAATAGCTTTCTTATTTGCTAGTCTATAGAAATACAGTTGATTTTTAAATGCTGATCTGTATCCTGAAATCTTGCAAAGTTTTCCTGTTCTAGTTTCTTTGTAGATTTCTTAAGATTTTCTGTGTAAACAATCATGTCATCTACAATTAAAAATACTGCTACAGAGGCTTCCTTGGTGGCCCAGTGGTTGAGAGTCCGCCTGCCTGCCGATGCAGGGGACACGGGTTTGTGCCCTGGTCCGGGAAGATCCCACGTGCCGCGGAGCGGTTAGGCCCGTGAGCCATGGCTGCTGAGCCTGCGCATCCGGAGCCTGTGCTCCGCAGCGGGAGAGGCCACAACAGTGAGAGGACTGCGTACCGCAAAAAAAAAAAAAAAAAAAAAAAAAAATACTGCTACCTTTTTCTTTCCAATCTTTATGCCTTTTATTTCCTTGTCTTACCAGTTGCACTGGCTAGGAATTCTAGAACAGTACTAAAGTGAAGAGAAAGTGGACAGCCTTTCTCCTACTCTTAGGAGAAAAACATTCAATATTTCACCATTAAGTAGGATATAAACTATAGGGTTTTTTTGTAGCCATACTAGAGTTTTCATAAAGGGCCGTAACCGTGATTAAAATCAAGAGACACTAACGTTAAGGCTGGCACTTTTAGTAGAAAGAGACTGTCTTTGAGATTTATTTATAACGGCTTTTCCAGGCATGGGCCAGAAGCCAGCCTACATTAGAATAAGCAAAAAGAGGAATTGGTTGTTATGTGTAATAAGAACGTCTGGGAGTTCCTCTGCTTCAGGCACAGGGGTATCTAGAGAATCAAAATGTTATCAGGATAATGTCTCTCTCCATATTTTCACTCTCTTTTTTACACGTTGACTTCAGTCTCAGCAGATCTTCCCACCACCTCTCATCACCTTATTTTGCTAAAGATGTCACAAGCAACTCCAGACTTAGGGCCAACCAACCTAGCAACTCTAGTAAGAAAAAAGGGCCTCATTTTTCAATAGTTCTGAAAAAGAATTCTCAGGATTCATTGTTTGGACCAATTCAGGCCACATGTCCATCCCTGAACCAATCACTGTGGCCAAGGAAATGGAATGCCCTGATTGGTCAGGCCCAAGCCACATGCTCCTCCCCCTTGGAGATGCAGTCAAGCCCACAAGTCTGAAGGACTGAGAAGGGGAGGGGCAGTTTCCCAAAGAAAATCAGAGTACTGTTGCTAGAGAATGAGGGAATGGGTCCCAGCCAGACATAAACCACAGCTGCTAACGCCCTCGTACAGAAGGTCTCTCTGTGTTCCAGGTCTGGCACTAACACTGGACCTCTTTAAACTTCAGTTTCCCCCTTTGCAACACACAGGCGGTTATTCCTGCCCTTCTTGACCCTATCTGAAAGGTCCAATGAGACAGTGCACTGGAAAGCTCTATCTAAACTGTAAAGTGCAGTGCACATGTAAGGAAGGGGTCACAAGAATGATTACTCACCCACCTATCCATCTGTCCTCTTCTCTCTCCCTCACAGAGCACCTGAAGAAGCCACTTGAAGACTACATGGCCCTTTTCCCCAGCGTGAGGATTCTCCGAACCAAGAAACGGGAAGGGCTGATAAGGACCCGGATGCTGGGGGCCTCAGCAGCAACTGGGGATGTCATCACATTCTTGGACTCACACTGTGAAGCCAATGTCAACTGGCTCCCCCCCTTGCTCGGTAAGGGAGGCTTGCAAGGTGAGGTAGGCGGCCTGGAGTGAGCCACTGGCCTCCAGTCCTGCTTTCTGCAGGGAGTCATCTATACTACAAGACTTCCCTTGCCTGCTTGAGATGCACCCAGCACAATGCCAGGCGCCACTAGGGTATCAGGCCCTCAGGAGTGCTCAGAGCAACCTTAAAAGTTCTGTCCCTTCATTTTACAGAGGAGGAAGCTGAGACTCGTAGAGGGGAAGTGACTTGCCCAAAGTCATAAAGCACATTAGTGTCTAGTGACGTGATTGCTTCTCCCAGGTTACTTCAGGTGTTATTGGAAAGCAAGCCAAGGCTGCCTACTGCTAAGAGCCAAATTGTAGGGAACACCATCACACCAACTTAGAACAGTTATCATTCACTGCACTGCTGCTGTGAGCAGGGAAGGCTGTAAGCTTTATCTTCAGCCCTCACAAAACCATGCCAGGTCGAAAGTCTCCCCTTTTTATAATAGAAGAGACCGAATTTCAGAGATTTTGAGTGACTCACTTGATCCCTTGGGCAATAAGTGTCAAAGTCACCATCTCTCTGGTTCCAAAGTGTATCTTCTTTCAGGATTCCACACTGCCTCCCTAAATTCAGTTCCTCTTTGGAGAGTTTCTGACAGCTCTCAGGTAAGGGCTCCAGACAGAGGGCAGCGTGATCTAGGAGTCGTCCACATGGGCTTGTGGACAGAAGAGAGACACGAGGCCTGGCTGCTGGGCACTGAGGTGCCTCATGGCTGGTTGAAGAACCAGGTCTGAATCCCTAGGCTCTGAGCTTTGAGGAAGGCATTGAGCTGCTGCTGACAGGTGGACGCTGAAGAGGAAATGTCCTACTGGGGCTGGGAGTCAGGTGAGGGACAGAGATGGAGGCAGATTGGGGAAGATCTGTCAATCCAGAGAGAAAAGTGAACACCTCAAAAATGGATGGGTAGGCTCTCCATAACAGAAAGCATAAGGAGCAAAGAAGACTTGAGTTTAGGGCAAACTTGTGTATCAGAATCACCTAGAAGACTTGTTAACACACAGAGCGCTGAGCCCTGCTTCACAGTGGTTGGTTCAGGAGGTCTGGGGCGGGGCCTTAGAAGCTGCATTCCTAACAGCCTCCGGGTGGTGCCAGTGCTGCTGGTCCAGGGACTATACTTCGGGGAGCACTGGTTAGGCCCCCATTCAGAAGTGAGGACAGAAAGCAAAACCTACACGGTTTAATGGGGTAACCCAGCAAGTTTGTTTCCTAACACAGATCAGCATGAAACTCTAATTAATATCAGATGATATGCTTCTGACCCCAAGGGTCCAGGATCCCACTGGGTTAGGAAAAGGATATAACCCAGATCTTCTGGTAAACTGTTTACCTAATTAAACCAAGAGATCTGCATCTGCCTCTCATGACTGAAAGAGAACAAAAAAGAGAAAAGGCCTCACGTAAATCACCTAATTGGGACTTCCCTGGTGGTCCAGTGGTTAAGACTCCGCCTTCCAATCCAGGGGACTGAGGGTTTGATCCCTGGTTCAGGAACTAGGATCCCTTCTGCCGTGGGGCAACTAAGCCCACGTGTCACAACTAGAGAGCCCACGTGCCACGACTACTGAGCCCATGTGATGCAACTAGAGAAGCCCATGCGCCATGACGAAAGATTGTGCACGCCGCGAGGAAAAATCCCGCAAGCCGCAACTAAGACCCAATGCAGCCAAATAAAATATTTGTTTTTTATTAAAAAAAATAATAAATCATCTAATTTATAGTCCTGAAGGAACATCGCATTTGGGGGGGGGGGAGGTCATTCAGTGACTCATAAAGAGACTGAAGTGGTAGAACACGAAGCTGAGCTTGCGGTTAACAAGCCTTAAGCCTTGTGTTAACAGCCTTAACTCTGTTTCTGTGGAAATATATGAGGGTAATTTTCATAATCTGCAACCATACATGGAAGAAATATTCTTCCTCTTCTTTTTCCCTTTTTCCAATAGAAATGTGAACCACTGGTGTAGATGTAAGTCTATCCCTGCTAATATGAGCAGCTGACCGAGCCCATCACAGCTTTTGTCTCTGAAACCATGAACATGCACAGTTCACTCTGCCTTCTTTGGAGAGTAGGCATTTCTGAGCCCGAAAGGAATTCAGCTCCCCTGAAAGGAAAGCCACTGTTGTTCATCATTTTCTTCATCTCTATCACCACCATCATCACTGTCATCATCATTATCATCATCGTTGTCGTCGTCATCATCATGCCTCTGCTAGTCCCTTACATTTTTTTGATCACAGCCCACATTTGAATGCGACTGGTAAAGCGGACAGGGCAGGCCTTATTATCCACATATTGCAAATGAGAAAACTGAAGGGCAGAGAGAATGAGGGGGATACTCACCCTTCCAGCTCCTGCTTCTGAGCTGCTTTCAGCGATCCTGGGCACAAAGAATGTCAGCAGAGGGCTCGTCACGTGCTCGAGGCTAGGCTAAGCATCTTGGCCCCATCGTCCCACTTGGCCTTCACAGAGATCCCAGGAAATAGGTGCTGTCTTCCTCCATTTTGTTGGCCAGGAAACAGAGGTTCAGAGACATCAGATAACCTTTTCCAAGGTTATACTGTTCATAGATGACAAAACCAGGGTTTGCACCTGGGCATTGTGTCTTCAAGTAATTACAGCACCGTGGAATGCTACCTCTGATGCCACCGCCTTGACCTTACACCTCCCCCAATCAGCCAGCATCCAGCAGAGCACTGTGTCCTCAGCACACACCCTCTCTGGAAGGGAAACCCCTCATGTGGCCATGAATTATCAGGAAGGGAGGCCCTTTTCTAGATCTTTCCCTGGGAAGATTCTTCTGCTTCCTTAATCCCTAGGGAGCATGTCCACAAGGCAGATCCAGGCGCCACCTCAGGAGATCCTGATTCAGTGGGCCTAGGTCAGGCCAGCCCTAGGCGGGTATTTTAAACACACTCTCGGTGTTTCTGGCACTGGTGGCCCCAGATCTACACTTGGGAACACAGCATCAAAAGCACCATTTCTCAGTTTTTTGACCATGTGCCACAGAAATAGATTAGACATGTCAATCCAGTACACAAATGTACACACTGATGCAGTATGACCGAAATATTTCCCAAAACTACTTTCCCTCATCACCTAGAATGCACCCTGACATTCTTTTTTGCTTCACTACAAACACACACACAGTTTCATGACCCACGTATGGATTGTGTCTTGCAGTTTAGCAAAAGGCAAAACTTTTCTTTGCTTTCTCTCCTGGAAGAAAAATCTGCTGTAGCTTGATGAAGCCTGGGCCCTAGGCAGCTGCCAGCCTACTCTGGCCCTACCAGGCTCCCCATTCCAAGACTTGGACTTGACTCCTGGCCCAAGCACAGCCCACTTGCCCCTCATGGCAGATCATCTGCCCCAATCAGTGGCACCTCCTGGCTGTAGTCAGGGCTTCTTGGCAGGAAGCGCACTGAAGGGCAGAGAGTGAATTTTATATAATCAGCTTCTCCGTGGCTTGAAAGGGACATAGAGCCATCTAGTTTAAGACCCCCGTTTGCTATCTTGAGTCACCTTGCCTGCAGCATTCCTGCAGGGCAGAGGTCCACCAGGCCCTGCTTGCACACCTCCGGTCCTGAGGAGCTCATAGGATAGTCCGACCCCTCTTCAGTAGTTCTGACTGTTGGAAAACGTGAGCTGGACTCTCTTGCGAGGACTATTTGTTCTCTGATGGCAGCTACGAGGTGTTGGGGAGCTTCAGGGACGGGCAGTCTGCCATGAGGGCCAAGTGCTGGAGTGCCTGGCTGCTGAGCCACAAGTCAAGTTCAGGACTCGGAATGGGGAGGGCCAGAACAGGGATCCTCCCAGAAGGAAGTTAATCTCTTTAAATAGCAATGCTGAGCATGACAGACACCTGTGCTCAACACCTTCAAGCATTACTGTATCCAGTACTCCTGCAACCAGACCCTCTTCTCCCCATTTCACAGAGGACAATGCTGAGGCTCAGATATCATTCATGTAGCTGGCCCAGGGCCCTCTCGTGGACGGCAGGATGGGCTGGGAGCCCTGGTCCATCTTGCTTAAAGCTTGTGCGCTTTCTTCCTCACGGATTCTCAAACTCGAGTGTTCAGAGAAATCACCCAGGAAACATGTTAAAAATGTGAATAAGTTGCAGAGCAGGGTCGTGCATGTAGCTGCTCTCCCATCCGGCCTCCTTAATGGGCATCTCTTGGCTTCTTCAGACCGCATTGCTCGGAACCGCAAGACCATTGTGTGCCCAATGATCGATGTGATTGACCACGACGACTTCCGGTATGAGACGCAGGCGGGGGATGCCATGCGGGGCGCCTTTGACTGGGAGATGTACTATAAGCGGATCCCGATCCCTCCAGAACTGCAGAAAGCTGACCCCAGCGACCCATTTGAGTAAGTACAGGTGACCCAGCCCGGTCCCAGTGGCTGACCCCAGGGAGCCCTCCCCAACACACACAACTCAGGATTGCCACCTCCCCCCAAAGCCCAGTGCAGGGGAGCGAGGGCAGACGTCCCCAACGGAAGCACAGTCCCTCCCAGCTCGTCACAGAGCCTTGGCTCACGGACCACCAAGCTGATCACCTCTTCCTTGCCCACCCCGAGGACTTCCAGCCCGGGGTGGCAAGCCTAGCACCCAGTTGTAATCATCATCATCATCATCATCGTTGTTGTCACTGTCACCACCATTGCATACTTTCTAAGTGCCAGGCGCAGTGCCGAGCACACTACACGGTGATCTTATTTAACCTCCAACAGCATATGTAGTAAAAATTATGATCCATGTTTTCCAAATGGGGACACCAAGGCTCCAAGAGGTTAAGCAGCCTGTCCAGGTCACACAGCTGTGAAGCGGCAAAGGCTCAGTGCCTTGCAGGTCTGTCTGCCTCTGGAGCCGACTTTCCCATCCATCAGTTACACCCTCTTGGAAGTATCAGGGAAATAGCTTGTCCCATGGTGGGAGTGTGGGGTGCGGGTGTGTGGACCGGACCCGTAGCATCCTGGAATGGCAGAGCTAGAGGGATCCTACAGGTAACGGACTCCAACCCCTTGCAGATAGGGAGACTTGGGCTCCAGGACAGGGAGGGGCTTCCCTGGGGACACAGTGGGCTAGTGGCTAAGCCAGAAACAGAGCCCAGTGCCCCTCTGGTACCCCAAGCTCCAGAAGGGTCTTTCCTCCCACAGTGGGCTCGCCATCCCTGCAGCTGTCACGTGAGCCACTCCAGCTCTCCTGCCAGAGGTGTGGAAAGACCTCTGGGTACAAAGCCAAAGTCCAGCCTCTCCAGCTGTATTGGTTTCCTGATTAGTTTCCTAATTGTCGCTGCAGTAATAAATTACCACAAGCTTACTGGCTTATTAAAACAACACAGGGGGGCTTCCCTGGTGGCGCAGTGGTTGAGAGTCCGCCTGCCGATGCAGGGGACACGGGTTCGTGCCCTGGTCCGGGGAGATCCCACGTGCCGCAGAGTGGCTGGGCCGCTGAGCCTGCGCGTCCGGAGCCTGTGCTCCACAACGGGAGAGGCCACGACAGTGAGAGGCTTGTGTACCACAAAAAAAAAAAGAAAGAAAAACACAGGGACTTCCCTGGTGGTCCAGGGGTTGGAGCTTAGCGCTTCCACTACAGGGGGCGCGGGCTCAGTCCCTGGGCAGGGAACTAAGATGCCATGCAGCGCAGCCAATAAATAAATAAATAAAATAAAATTACACAGCTTTATTCTCTTAAAGTTCTGGAGGTCAGAAGTCTGAAAGGGTCTTACTGATTTAGTGTTGGCTGTGCTGCGTTTCCTCCTGGTACCCCAGGAAGGGATCCATTTCCTTGCCTTTTCCAGCTTCTAGAGGCTGCTCACATTCTTTGCCTCATGGCTCCCTCCATCTTCAAAGCCAGCAACATAACATCTTCCAGTCTTCCCCTCCTGCCTCTCCTTGTCTCCCCCTACACCTCCCTCCCCCTTCCCTCTCCCAGTCTCTTGCTTCCATCATCACGTCTCCTTCTCTGACTCTGACCCCCCTGCCTCTTTCTTCACTTACAAGGACCCTTGTGATTACATTGGACCTATCCAGGTAAACCAGGATAATCTCCCCATCTCAAGATCCTTCACTTAGTCACCCTTGCAAAGGCCCTTTGCTGTGTAAGGCAGCAGAGTCACAGGTCCCGGGAATTAGGACCCTGGCTTCTTTGGGAGGCCATTATTCTGTCTACCACCCCTGCCTAACCACAGCTTAGCCTCAGTGAAGTCCAGCCGCTCTGCCTCACCCTCCCCATCTGAGAAAGAGGGGCGGTTGGCGGCTCAGCCATCTTCATGGGCGCAGTGCACCCAGGGTTTCTGGGGGACCCCTAATGCTGTGAGCCCCAGGGAAGGCTCAGAGGTAGGAAGAGGTGGGCTTGCTTGAGGAAATGGAAGGTGACCGGGGCAAGAGAGTAGCATGAGCTGAGAGTGGAGGGTGTGAGTGGATCCCCCGTGCTTCCTCAGCAGGCCAGACGTTTGTGCTCTGGTCCCGACCTCCTGTATCCTAAACATGGTCAAACACTACTATTAGAGCTCTTCTTAGGCCACAGATACAGTCTAGCCAACACAACATCGTGCAGCCAGGTCCTACCCCAGTATGCGCCAGAGTCAGCCCCCAGTTGTCCTGAATTCTTGGAGAAGAATGCTAATAACAGGAGTAACTAACATTTGGCCTGACTTGGTAAAGCAGTTCCAGCTGACATGACTGTGCTTGATTCTCACAACATGCCCTTGGGTGTTGGTGGAACTCTCTCCACTTGACTGATGGGGATCCTGTGGTTCAGAAAAGAAACGACACTTGCCCAAGGTGACACGTAGCAGAGGCTGAGGTTAGGCAGGCTGCTCCAGAAAATGGAATTTTTAGGGTAACCAGAACCCCCTCTTATGGTTTGAATCTTTGCTATAAGCCAACTCACAGGCCCTAGATTTGAAAGGTACGTAATGGTGGCTCTTGGCCCATTCAGCCTCCTCGTTGCAGGATGAGGGAGGGGTGGGTGCAGGTCGTGCAGCTAGTTAGAAGCAGAGGCCCAGCTAGTTTTGTCTGCAGTCTCAGTCTCCTCATCTGGATATTAAAGGGGTTGGCCCAGCCCTAGAGCAGAGACTCTCAACCGTGGCTGCATGTTGCCATCACCTGGGGAGTTTATTTAAAACAAAGAATAAGAAGAAGTATAACAGATTCACTTTGCTGTACACCTGAAACTAACACAACATTGTAAATCAACTGTATCCCAATAAAAATTTAAAAAAAAGAAGAACCACCCAGGCTGCCCCTGAGTCCAGTTACACCAGAGTCTCAGGGTGGGGAATTCAGGCGTCAGTTCCCAGATGATGCTGACATATGGCCAAGTTTGAGAGCCACTGGCCCAGATGCTTCCTGAGGGGCTCTCCATACTTTGTACCCTCCAGTTCCTTCCAGAAGTCTCTCTTCTGTGTTGCAGTCAGACAAAACCCCAGGAACAGGCCACTAAGAAATCCTGGTCATTGTCTGCACACCGCCCCATGGTGCTCGGCAAGTGGGCGCGCTGCAGGCACAGAGCCATGTCATGATATTTGAAAGACACAGGCTTTGGTGTCAGCTCATCCACTTACTAACTGCATGCCCTTGAGCAGAACATACAGCATTTCTGAATTTCCAATTTCTCCATGTGAAAAGAGGGCTAGTAATAGGGCTTTGTGAGAGCTGGTGATGTTGGTGAGGTGAGTGGCACACACCAGATGCTCAGAATTGTTGTTATTATTACTGTTGAACACAGCAGAAAACAGACCAGCCTAGAGGAGAGGCCTCCCTCTGGAGATGAAGCCTCAAGCATCCAAAATGCCTTACACCTAATATCCTACCTATCCTACCATGTCCCCTGCCGCTGGCTTCCACCCAGGCTGATGTTTTTGTGCAGAGTCTTAGGTTTGATTTACCATGAAGCACCGAGCCAGAAGCACTCTCTGGCCCTCCAAGCATCACGGCTCCAGCCAGAAAAACCACAAACCCTACAACCTTCATAAGACAGAAGAAAGTTGATACTACTAACACCTTACTTTCCTATAGTACTGGTTACTTTCAAAACTGTACTAGCAGTGTGAGCTAGCAGGTGTAGCTCTACGTCCCTGTGTAGATGGGGAAACCAGCTCAAGGAGGTTAAACCAGCATTGTCCTATAGAAGTATAATGCGACTCACGTATGTACTTTGGAATGTCCTCATAGCCACGTTAAAAAAAGGTAAAGGGAAGCAGATAAAATTCATTTTAGTAATGTATTTCATTTAACCCAGTATATCTAGAATATTCTCATTTTAACATGTGACCAACGCTTTCAAATTATGAATGAGACCTTTTCTGTTCTTTTCTTCACATTAAGTCTGGGAAATCCAGTGTGTATCTCACACTGCCAGCACCTCTCAGTTCAGACCAGCCACACTGCAAGTGTCAGTAAGCCGCATGTGGCCAGTGGCTCCCGTACTCAGCAGCACAGGGTTCTGGGGCTAAAATCTTTACCCCAGACCCCACCACAGGTTTGGGGAGAGCTGAGGTTGCAGTGAGGATTTCTCCGTTGCTGATCCGGGCTCATGAGGTCAACGTGAGGAGTAAATTCATTTTGGTAGTTATTTAGCTCAGTACAGCGCCTGGCAGATTCAAGGCCTCGGTCAGTGATCAAGGGAGTCCTTTCTAAAGGGGTCCCCTCCTGTGCTATCAGGGCGCATCTACTGCAGGAAGCCTCGCAAGGCGTGTGGGTTAACTCACCTCTTTCCAAGTCAGTCCACTTCCCCTGAGCGTGCTGTTCCCCAAGCCAGGAGGGGCCGCGGAGGTTGCTGCTAGAATGGTTTTCCTTGGAGGGTTTGGAGTTTTCCAGGGGAGTCAGACAAGGCCACAGCCACTCAGAGAGCTTTTCGCACAAAAAACACTGGTGGCCCCTCCCAGGTGCTGGCCCCACGGGAGGCGTCGTGGGGAACTTGGGCGAGCCACACCCCATGCTTGATCATCTCTGCCCCCGAGCTCGTGCTTTCTCCTGGGTGCCTTCCCTTCCCCCAAGCTCCCACTTTGTTCCTAGCCACCTCGAATGCCACCCTCTGAGCATCCTTCCTTGACTCTTGCCCCACCTTCCCTCCTCACCCCGAAAACCTGGAGGCAGACGCTCCCTCCTTTCCCGTAGTGCTGGCTGCGCCTCCCAGAGGCCCTTGTTACACCCCACCTGTCTTCTGGGTCCTCCTCTCCTGAGGTGGCTGCCCTGCCATGCTGGCGTCCCCTGAAGATTCTGTCTGACCCTGATTTACCTCCAAATTCTTCCAGCATCTGCTTCTCAGCTGGTACTCGATGAAGAAACGAATGAGAGTATGAATGAGCGGAGTTAATCTTATCCCAGTTTAACTGAAAGAACAATGACTGTGGCTTCTTCTGTAAACTCTCAGCAGAAAAAAAAAATATGCCGGGATTACAGAGTGAGAATCATCAAACAATCTTATCCAAAAACGGACCCCTAAGCTCCATTCCCCCAGAGACTGTTTTGTAGGTCTGGGGTCAGGTCCAGGAAGCTGTATGTATTTTCACCTCTCTAAAACATTCTACAGCCTAGACAGGCTTGGAAAGACCTGATTCAGATCATTTAATCAATGGGAAGACTAGAGATTAGATACAGATATGCATATATATATGGCACAGCTACAAGGCCCACAGGGAACAAGCACTATGATTTCATTTCACAGGTATTCTTAGGTGTTAACCACGTAAAGGAATTTTGGGTCCATTGGTTAAGATGTAGCATTTATGAAGAAGTATAGGCAAGAAGGAAGAAAGCCAGGGGCCTCACTCAGAAGGGCTTTGGATTCCCTGCTGGACAAGTAGGCTGTGTTCACAGAGTGGCAGGGAGCATCACCCCTGGGAGAACAGCAGTGTCCGAGAGCAGGATACCCAAGGAGCACACGGCCAGGACATCCGCGTCTTCACACCAGGTTCTTCTTCCCGCAGGTCTCCTGTGATGGCCGGCGGACTGTTCGCCGTGGATCGGAAGTGGTTCTGGGAGCTGGGCGGGTACGACCCAGGCTTGGAGATCTGGGGAGGGGAGCAGTATGAAATCTCGTTCAAGGTGAGCTCTCGGGAAGCCCCTTTGTCCTTGGCAGGGTGCCCGTGGCACCTGTCCTGGCAGGCTGCCTGCTTAGTGTCTGTCTGCGCCTGGTGAACAAGTCAGGAGCCGCCAGCCACTGCTTGCTGTGTGTGTGCTGGTAGCGGGGGCAGAGCAGAGGCGGCAGCATGGAGATCCTCAGGTTGCCAAAGGCTGGCCTCAGCCACAGCTCTGGCTGGTGTTTGCCTTGCATTGTCCCTTCTCAGATGACAGTGTTGGAATAAGACAGGCCTCACTTCCCCAGAGATGGTGTGTCTCCCATTGAGACGACCAGCAGACCAGCAGAGGGGAAGAGAGAGCACAACGGCCGAACGAGACACGTGGGCCGGCAGGAAGCTCTGCTTTGAGAATGGTCCCCTGGCCTCACAGAAACCAACTTGTCTTCAGTGGTTCCTGGCCACCCCTCTCGAGTCTTCCCTTTGTATCTGTCTCTGCTGGAGTTTGATGTACAGAGACCAGGGGCTAAGAGCTTGAGTTGTGGAGTCAGAGAAGCCTGGGTTCCAATCCCACTCCATCACTCAGTTGCTGTGTGACTTTGGGCAAGTTAGATTACCTCTCTGAGCTTTCTTCCCTCATCTAAGAGAATAATCATACTACCTACTTTACAGAGCTTTTGTGAAGATTAAATGAGATAATATCTAGAAAGTGGTTAGCACCCAACCTGGGGACACAACCAGTTAATAACTGGTAGAAATTATTAAAGAGTCAGTGAAAATATATTTACTGTAACCTATTAGACCCGCCCATGTGCTGTAGAAGCTTCTGACAATGGCGGTAAAGGAGGTGATGGTTACTAGTTAACTATGCAAACTTCTGAGGCCCCATTCCTCCCCTTTTTGTGGGATTTTTGTATTGATCTCAAGTGAAGAACAGAGGCTTAGTCCCTTTGAGGGGAAGGTTAGCTTGTCCTGTGGCCCTGTGGTCAGCCAGGGCCTGCTTCTAACACCCCTAGAACCCCTGGTAAGGCATATCCCCAACCCATGAGGGATGGCCAGCAGCATAACTGGGCTGAGCCCTGTGAATACGCAACCCGGTTGCCTGCTAAGTCGGGCATCAACTTCTTATGCAAAGGACCATTGTCCCACACCGCAATTAAGGTTTCGGCGCTGGGGTTAGATTGCCTAGGTCAGGTCGTAGCTCTGCTACTTCGTACCAGCTGTGTGATCTTGCACAAAGAATCCTTAGCCTCACTGAGCCTCAGTTTCTGCTTCCATAAAATGGGTTTAATGATACTTTAATTCTCACAGGGTTGTTGAGAGGATTAAATAAGTCCATTCTTGTTAGGTGCTTCTTAATAAATATCCTAAAACTTATTTTCATTACCGTCATTGTCCTTGTGTATGCCACTGGGTGAGCAGTTCAGAACTGGGGGACATAAATTCTTGATTAGCAAGAAAACAACCTGTAATTCTACTGAAACATTATTTTGGTTTGAAAGGCAGTCTATGTCCATTTTACCTTCAGACTTCTGAAGCTGTCTCCCATAAGGGGCCCAGCCCCCTAAATAAAACTAATATTAAAATCCAGGGGTGATATTAAAAATATTTAACAACAATGATGACACAAGCACCAATCAGTCAGAGCGGATGCCAGCTGTCAACAACTGTGCATCCACCCTGGTGTGCGGCAACTCAAGTGCAGCCGTGATCAGAGCTGGCAGGACCCTGTGTGGAGCTCTTCACAAGTGTTGGCTTATCTAATCCTCAAAGCAACCCTAGGAGGGTGGTATCATTATTATAAACATTTCACAGGGGGGCAAGTGGAACTCAGACCCAGGTCCCACACAGTTGAAACTAACAGAACCAGGACCTGAACCCAGGTCTGCCCAACTGCAAAGCCCATGCTCTCACCTGCCATGTTGTATAGGCCTCTGCAGGGACGTGAGAGCACTTGAGAGGAAAACTAGCCTAAGAGGTTGGCTGTAATCTCTTACTCTTTCTTCTCAGTTTTTGCCTCCTCCTGGGGTTAACTTACTGGGATATCCTGCAGCCTCTCAATGAAGTGAACAAGTAACAGTCTAAGTCAGAAATAGGTTTGCTCTCCCAGCCAACTCTGATCCATCAGTAGGAGCTGCCCCAGTTCTGTGTTAATATGTATTGCGAGGCTGTGTCTGAGCTTATCAGAAAAGGAGTGGTGATTGATTAGTGATGTCTGCCCTGGGTGCAGGTTTGGCGAGCGATGGCACATATGTCATTTATTTAGTATCCCTAGCCCATGCAATCTAATTTTCCAAATGTCACATCCTTACAGTGGAATCACAAACAAGGAATCAGAAGAGTTTTAACTTCACAGTTCCTCCATCTGTCAATTAAACAAACTTAATTTATGAAGTTTTCTACTAAGTCTGTTCCCAGAAATGGGCACATCAGTGTTCTGAGTTCTCACCAGAATGTAAACTTCAGTAGGGTAACCATCTTTGTCTGTTGTATCCCAAGAACCAAAAGGGTTGCCTGACCGGGAGAAGGCACTTAGTAAATAATTGTTGATTGAATACTCAGAGCAGGTGTAATACTGGCCAGAACCAGCCTCCTTGGTCAAGAAGTTCCCCTGCAGAAACTCCCTCTGTGGAGAAGAGTGATTGGAGAAAAAATGAGCACAAAGGAGTTTCTAAACCTAAAATAATTTCAGTCTGTGCATTTCAAAGACCCATTTGATGATGCTCATCAGGCAATTATGGCAGAACAATTGGCATGTTCCCACCACAGTTTATTTACAAAAGACACGGGTAATGAAGCTGTATTTGAAGTCTCTCATCAGGGAGTGGGAGGGAGGCTGGCTTCTGTTGCCATTTGATCCAATTATCTCCTTCACTCTGGAGAGGAGATGAGACAGTGTAATGAGGAGTCCCCCAGGTCTGAAAGGGAGACATTTCTCCCTGGGCTTTCTCTCTCCGGGCTTTGAGAGCGCGGGTTCCTGGAGCCGGCGGCAGCCCCTCTGCCAGTGCACTGTCTCCAGGGCCCCCACGGAAGGCCTGCCCACAGCGCTGAGGGCACAGGAGAGCCCGTTCGTCTGCCAGCAACGCCTCCCTGGAATGCCAGGTGTTCTGTTTCAGCCAGAGCAGGGCATTTACGAAGGGCCAAATTCCCTCTGATTAATCTCTGCTGAGATCCTTTTTCTTCTTGGTGACAGAGAAGAGAGACTGGTCTGAAAGGCGTGAGTGTATTTTCAGAAATGAAGATAAATTGATAAGTTAAAAAAAGAGACAAATTGATATGTGCCATCAGGGCTGATGGATTAATAATTTGGCTCCAGTTTCAGACCAGGCCATCTCTCCTGATGGGAAAACCCCAGAAAAGATGTTCCGAAGGCTCTGAAATTTCTAGGAGAGTCATTGACTCTTTTTTTTTCCCTCTCTCTCTCTCAGCCAACAGAGCTTCTGTTTCCAAAAGGCACGGTCACATATGAGAGTTCTCCTGCTTGGCAGTTAGACTCTTCCCGGTTCTAGTGGGCGGATAAATCTTTAACCCTGCAGCCTGGCCTACACCCACCTCCGTGAGCTGCTTACCATCCCTTGCTTTCTCTCCACTCTCCCCCAAATTGCGTCATTCTGGACTCTTGGTAACAGGTCACCAAACCCTGGTCAATCTGACCCCAGTCTGACTTAAGCAAAAAAATTAGAATTGATTGGCCCACACAACTGAAATTCCAGGGTAGATCCTCCAGACCCGGCTGGATCCAGGGACTAACCCATCTCATCTAGGCTCCATCTCGCTTAGTCCCTCAGCTCTGCTTTCATCTGGGTTGGCTTTCCTCTCAGGCAAGTTTTCCCTTGTGGAAATACCCAGCAGCCCAGTGGGAAAAGAGCTTCTGTTTCCCATCATTCCTGTAGTAAGTCCTCAAGTCGAGTCTCACTGGCCTTCTGGTCCCTTGCCCCTCCCTGAGCAGTGTTCTGATCTGTCAGCTGCAGTCTGAGTCTGATTGGTCACGTGCCCATCCCGGAGCTGGGAAAGTGGGATGAGCTGGCTCCCTAAAGGAAAGCCCAGGCATTGTGTGCAGAAGGGGGAATGGAGGCGGGGCGGGGCAAACCACCGATGTCCACCTGACCCAGCCATACAGAACGGCTTACAAGCCCCAGGCTCATATGCCTGGCTATCTTTGAAGGCACGCACTGTTCATTTTTCCTGAAATGCCCTTCCTTAGTCTGGCCAACGCACAGTCATCCTTCTGGGTTCAGCTCATCTATATGGTGTCCCCTCAGCCTTACCTGAGCTCCCTGTGATGCTTAGGGACCATCCGAATGTCACTCCCAGCATGGCACCCAGTACCTCCTGTTGACAGGACCCAAGGGTTGGCCTGTCTCCCCCACTGCACTCTGAGCTTCCTCGAGGCAGAGAGTGGGTTTTGTCCATCTCTATACCCCAGTTTCTGGCCCAGAATAGGTGTTTTAGATAACTGTTAGTGGCATCAATTCCTATCTTATATAACTTCCTTCATCCTGCCCTTCCCAGGCTTACATCTGCATCTTTGGGTGATGGCGATGTGGCAGGAGAGGTACTCAGTGAGAAGGCAGGGCACTGGCTTCTCATCTCTGCTCTCTGTCCACCTGGAGACCCTGGACCAATTGCTTGATCTCTCTGGCCCTCACATCCCAGGTGGTGCTGATAGAGTTTTCCTTCCTACCCAAGAGAGGCTCGAATAAGATGCTGTGGAGAAAGCCCTTGGCCTTACGTGGATGCGAGGGTGGTTGGATTAGAGGTGGTGGCGGCAGGACCAGCAGAAAAGGGACCTGCACAGTGTCCCCAGGAGGCTGAGGTTAGGATGTCTTCAACTTTGAGGTCCAGGAGAGGAGAAGTGTCCACGGGACAACGTGGCTGAGCTGGCGTGAGAAAGATGTGGACCTTGACGCAATGTAAGTGGATATATCTTTTGTTAACAATTTGGCAGAATCCGTTACATTTCAAAGCAAGCACATTCTTTTACCCAAAATTTCACGCCCAGGAGTTTAGCCAAGAGAGATAGAGCAA